ACCCATGGATTTGCATGACAAGTTTTGCACTCAGCTGCTGTTGTCATCACATTGCCTCTGCTTGTAGTATGCAAAATGGCTGGATATAGATTCTGGAGCATGAATGCTTCCCTTAGTCTGCTTATACAAGACATTTTATAAGCAGGTTGATATAATTTGTTATTACTATATGCATACTTATTTCGTTTTGTATACAGTTGTATACAAAATGACAAAATAAAATCTGTCAAAGTCTGTCTAAGTCTAAGTCATTAGCTTTCTTGGGCTGATATTGTACTGTATTGTATCTTAATCACAGGTTGTCAAAGCATCTTCAAAATCAAATAAGTGTAGAATAAAACTGCAAATATTTGACCTGCAGCCACTGTCCAGGTCAAATATTTCATATGCCCTGAAAAACACAACATACATTTCCATTTTCTTTACTCATGGAAACCCAAAGTCTTTTTTTTTTAGGATTATCTTAATAACTATTCAGGGTTTCAACCAGGAATTTAATGCCACAGGCTACTTAGCTCTCCTCTTCTGACAATGATATTCTGATAGTCTACCAGCAGCTCAGGTGCATTGCTGCTCTGACAGCTCAGTTATCCAAAACCCTACCCAACTCTCTGGCTGAATTTACAAAAACACCACTGTGGCTTGTGGTTTGTTGCATTTACCAACCGTTTCATTAAATTACCTGCTCTTTTCCAGTGGAGGGTTTGAAATTCCGCTCTTGACTGACATTGAGTGGGAAAACACCCTGTCTTTTTTACTCATCTTACACCCGACTTGGAAAATGAAACTTCTCTGGTAAAGATAAAAAAAAGGCGTTTTTGAATAATATGCTGATTACTTAGAAAATATTGTTAGCCTGCTAACTAATTTAATTTGTTTAGCTTATTACTTTTATTTAGTGTTCATTTTTGTGCCTGGAAGCTGGAATTTATGAGTTATAATCCAGATAATCGAGTAAAGCGATCCCTAAAGTGAGCAATTTATAAACATGTCCCTTTTCAGTGTCAAAGCATAGACTAGTAAGAGATATGTTTTGGCGTTCAATACTATTATTAGCCACTATAATCACACAGAATTGCATTATCCGATCCCGGTGGTTTTCCAACTTGAGTTTTCAATATGCTTGCTTGGGTTGGATGTGATTCCCCAATTGGAGCTTCTGCTTCTGAGATAAATCCAAGATGCCATTAGTCTTTTTCTAGCTTTGCTAAAAGGCTTTTCAATCGAATGATATTCATTGCTTTTGTATTTCCCTCAAGGAAGGAAACACAATTTACTTTTAATAATAATAAGAAGAATGTTTTCTTATAGGCTGCCAATTTTCTATAATAAACCAGGTTTAACAGTCATTGTATAATCTTTTTAGCATTATTCGGTACAGTAAGTCACTTCATAAAATAAAGTCCAAATCATTTTCCTTTTCCTCTGTATTCAGACCATGAGGGGAAAAGCTATTTTTAGGCTCCACATAGTTATGTGCATTGATTTAATTTAACAAATATGGAATAAAAAGTTATGTCAGGACTAGTGAGCAATAGTCACTGAGCCAAGCAGTAAAAACACTCGCTTTGGAATCTTTAAATGCCTGTAAATATTGTAATAAGCAACAGGGTTTTCCTCATAAAAGATGCAGAAGCTCAACGAGTACTGACAGGCGCTATGGGTCCTGAGTTCATGATGAGGAGTGCTGCTTCTCTCTCTCTCCCCTGCTTGTTTCTGGGGTTTTTCTCCATAGAGATTGGCAATCTTGGATGCCAACAAGGAAAAGCTACGGGGAAACTTAAAGTCTACACACTAGACTCACCTGACTGCTATTCTCACCTTTTTTTCATCAGTTAATCTCTGCCCGAGAGAGCCTTCAGGTGGATTGATTTCCTGCTCCAATGCAACATTTATTATGGCTTGCAGTATATAAGACTTGCAGCATGTTTTAAGTGCTGGTATCCTATGACCTTTTGTGGAATATGCTTGCTCTTAATGGGTGCCTGAAGCAGGGATGGCTATGTGTAGATGTGCAAACATGTCTAAGAAAGAAAAGAAACCAACTTTTATCAGAGAGACTTATTTATGAAATGTCAATCTGGCGTACTTTTACCAATTAAAGTTCGGCAATGCGATAATGTTGGTGAAACAAGCAACAATGATCTCACCTGCAATAAATAATCAAATACCTAACAGTGTTAACATTATTCTGCTCTGGGTTCACTCCATCAAAATTACCACCACTTCTACAGGTTATCATTAAAATTTGTACATTTTTATTTTTTATTTATAAGTCCCCAAATGCCTTGTGCTTAACAGTTGCCTTGTAATAATTTCAGTACTTTGAACGAAAGATATTGCATGCATTGATTAACGTAAACAAAGCCAGCCAATATTAATACATTTGTTATATATTTGGCAACCCTGCAGCACACAGAGGAATCTCAAAGTCACACGGCTTCATCAACCGTTCAACACCATTTAGACATCAATTAGATGTCAATTAGTTTATTAGCGGTGCAAGAATTTGTTTTCCTAATATTATTAAGGTAAGGGGGACTACATTGTGTTAGAACAGTGTGCTTTTGTCAGATAAGGTGAACACCAATCTCACCACTACAAACACTCCGGGTTGGTTCAGCCTGGAACAAAACAATGTATGGAGGAAAAAACCCGACAACAACCCATTAGGGCTTTAGCAGTAAAAGGATCCAAAGCATATGGCCAAGTCAACACATAGATAATTACCCTGGTAAATATCAGTGAAACAAGGATCAGGGATTCAATGCAGAGGAATTGTATAGATAGAAATGGTTAAATACCCTTTTATCTGTTGTTTCAACAGTGTAAAATGCAGTAGGAAAAGACCAAGTGATGTCTTAAGGAAAACCAAATACTAAAAGTTGGGACACCAGTAATTGCAGGACTTTGTTGATAATGAGTGTTACCTAATAACACATATCTCAACGAAATAAATGTATTAAAATATATATAATATATAATAATTTACGTTTTTAAAGTGTCTTTAGTTGGATTTTTTTTTTTTGCATATCTGTGTATCTATATTCAAATTAAAGAAAGGAGGAGAGTTTAATGTCCCGCCACATTCTGAGCCTTTCAGCCGTTCAGTTTAGCCCGACCCACTGACAGCTTTGGAGACGGACCCCCTCTAAAAATGCTTAACTGAATTATTTTGTAGCTGTTTCAGTTCACATTTATATTTTACATTAGGAGTTGCTAAGGGTGTAGTCCTACCGCCATCTTGCCCCTTCACAAAGGTCAGCTGAATCGTAAAGTAGTTTGAAAGGAGGGACAGAAGCCTATATGCATTGTTTGCCTACAGCGGGCCTGTCAACATAACTGACTGTGCTTTTACAATTTAGATTATAAAGGTAAAGCAAAAAAATTAGTGAATGGAGCATTAAGTTTTGATGTTTTCTAATGTTGATGTTGCATTTAAGTCTGGCTTTGCACTGATTCATTTAAAAAGAAAAAGAAAATAACAAGGGAGAGGGTGGATAGAGCGGTGAGACTTTAACGCATCATTTTGTGATAATCCTTCTCCGTTTTGGAACAGTTCAGGATAACTCATGCAATAAAGCCTTGTACAAGCCTGGAAAAATAATAAGTTATTTGTGTAGCCTTATAGTGCTTTGCCCTTGGAGGGCTTGCTAACCCCAATGTTTTGGCCCCAAAAAAAACAATAACAGATTAGTCAAGCTGTCACATCTTTCTGATTGCCAAATGGTTGAGCCCTTGATGTTGGCGCGAATGAACAATGCATGAATGTCGAACATGTATCTGCCTGAGAGTGCATGTAAACACAGTGCTTTGTGGATATGCCTCAGCACCGCCGACCAATCCTTCTCTGTCACACAGCCCAGTGTGACGGAGAGGAATTGGACAGCGTGGTTGGGCACATGCATGCAGAGGAAGGGGTGGTGGCCCAAAAGGCAAATGACAGACAGACGCATGGCACAGAACAATGAATGTATGGGCAGATGGATAAGTGGATGGGGGAAAAGATGAAGTGTTTGTCAAGAGATGCAGAAACAAATGGCAGCTTTTATCCTGAGGCTTTGGGAGAGAAATGATGGTTCAGCTCAGGACACAGAGGGCGAGTCAGACAGGGTGAGTGGCATTTTGGCACATGAGTGCAGGGTGCATGGAGGGTGGAGGGGGAGGAGTGGAGGCCTGGTTCGATAGATAAAATAATCACCTGGAGCTTTCCTGTAACAGCACTTTGACATTATTCAAAAACTACACCTAAAACCGCCAGTGCTGCCTCTTAGAATAAGCTTAGATTATATTCAGCACCATATATATATATAGTATTTATTTTATATATATATTTATATATAATTTCTTAAACATGAACAAATAATATTGTATGCCAAAATTTGCATCACACAAAAATTCTTTATGGAGTTAAAAAAATAAGGACAATCATCAATTGCAGAATTTATCTATGAATATCACAGCATATTAGATAATAAGAATGTCTATGCATCTTCAGGTCCGTGCAGGAAGTGTGAAGAGGCAATCTGCTCTGCAGGGCTATAAATAGGAACTGTGTGGTGTTTCTTTGGTAAAATAGGTTAAGCTGGCATCGCTGCACTGCTGGCATGACATCACTGATTGCCTGCCAGCGTTACTCAAAAAAACTGATCCTACACTGCCCGGAAAGAGAGAGTATATAAATGAATACATTGTGGAGGTATGGCACAGTCCTCCACTACTCAATATTCTTTTCCTGTACCCTCCTGTCCATCCATCCATCCATCCATCCATCCATCCATCCATCCATCCATCCATCCATCCATCCATCCATCCATCCATCCATCNACCACTGGGTGTCGCTCTAGAGCGTGTAATATCGCCTCAGTGCGCTTATTCCCTCCAATATTACCCCCTTCTGCTCTTACTGTGTGTGCGGGAGCGTTGTGTGTTGGATAGAAAGTCAGCCTGGTTTCCAGCTGAGTGCTTGCTCTCTCACAGCGTGTGTGTGTGTGTGTGTGTTGTCATTATTATCCACTCTGCTCCCAGCTCAGAATGGCCAGATTCACTCAGACTGAAACAAGAAGGCAGCACCATCCACAGCAGTCCCAGCCCGCTCACTCCAGCCTGGTTTTCACCGGACCGGGGGACCCACCGACCCACCAACCATTCCTACTTCTCCCACATCAGCACCAGTACTCTCAGATCACATTCCCCAAACCCATGAACGGGTCAGAACCCATTTCAATTCATCCGGAGAACGGCAACATGAAAGACCAAGATGCCATTAAGCTGTTTATCGGGCAGATACCGAGGAACTTGGAGGAAAAAGACCTGAAACCTCTGTTTGAACAGTTTGGGAAAATCCACGAACTGACAGTTCTCAAGGACCGATACACCGGCATGCACAAAGGTAACGTGGTGATGCTTGCGAAGACCTCTTTTATATTTAATCTTTAACTGATTCATTCGCATCCTAATAGTTTTTCATTAAATGTTAAATCTGACTCCAAACGCGCATTTTTTCCAATATTTACACATTTGTCTTGATATCTTTTTTTTAAATATATGTTATTTTTCCAAATGACAGAATACATCCTCCGTTATTATAAGCACATCTCATCCAAAATCAAACATTTACAGTTTATTTTCTATATGTTTTTTTTCTGTCATTGTAATCGAAGAGTGTTTCCTTAACGCGCTCCTAAAGTGGGGCAGAAGCGCACGGAAAGGATGCATTTTTAAAGAGCTTTTCCCTGCCAGTCCCATCTTTTTTTTTTTCCTTTGGAGGGGTGGCATCATTTATTCATCCACATGCTTTCTTTAACATCTCTTTGCGTGGGAGATGGAAGCTGGGGCCGCGCGCAGAGCCGTCACCGCGTAAATCTGTGTAATTCTACAGTGTCTCCGAAGGGCCCCCAGCAGCTGTCACAGGATGACGGACGCCGCCACGGAGATACCGGTGATACCGGGTGCGCTGCTTCTGCTGAAATAGGAAGTATGGGGCCAGCGCTGTAGGGCAGTGGTAACTTCCACTTTTCTAAGGAAGAGTGGTCATGAAGCTATTAATGTGCACTAATCTGTTCAGAGCAAAATTGTCCCTCCCCTCTACGTGTTAGACATCAAAATGTTACCCCCCCCCCCTTTTTAGATTAACCAGTTGACTCATCACACTGAGTATAACAATACTTAGAACCAATTTCGACTCATAAAATCATGACCCCGGCCTTCGTCCGTCCGTCCGTCCATCCGTCCATCCATCCATCCATCCATCCATCCATCCATCCATCCATCCATCCATCCATCCATCCTGCAGGGTTGCTTGTGATGGGGTACCGATCTGGACAGGTGGCCACTTCATCTTCAAACTGCTCAGAGACACACACACCATGCATGCATGCTCACACTAACTCCCAGAGGTAATCTAGAGCAGTGGTTATCAGACCTGGACCCACTGTCCTTCATGTTTTAGATGTGTCCTGCTCCAGTACACCTGAATCAAACCATTGCATTACTGGCTCAGCAACCGTCAAGAGCTGTAGAAGTCTGTTAATCACCTGTTTATTTCAGTCAGGTGTCTAGAAGACTTAAGACATCCAAGAAGTAGTTTGAAGTTCCTCAAGGTATTTAGATAAAAACACTTATACTAACTGGCAGAGAAAAAAATGAGTATCTGCAGAAAGTGCTCACATTAAAAAGAGCATATACAAAATCCATGCAACCGGACCCCAGGCCTGGATGTAAAATAATAGTGCCTGTTATGTTTAATACACTGACAACAAATAATTGACGACTTGAGAAGGGAGGCCCCCAAAAGACACTTGTCAGTTCATTATGTTGGCCCACTCCCAAGTTATTCTCCGGCCTGTAAAGATATATATTCCCTCCAGTGGGCCTTGGGTCTGACCTTCGCTGTCCTCTCAGTGGGGTATGCACTAAAAAGTTTGAAAGTATGAAAGTATGAAACTATGCTCAACCACTCTACAGGGAACCTCACTTCAGTATGCAGGATCCATTTCTTCAGATTTTTATAATTTGTCACCACCATAGGTTAGAGTCAAAACATAGAAGGGTGCATAAAGGGAGGCATTGAAGTAGAGTTGAAACAATAAATTAGATTAATCGATTATTGAAATAATAGTCAACTAATTTAATAATAGACTTTGTTAACCGGAGTATAGAGACTCTAAAACATGCAGTTGACAGAGCAACACACTTAGAGCAATGATTGTTCCAAAATTGTAATAAAAATATATATAAACATTTTGCATTTAAGATATTCTCTCAACTCCTCAAGTGTTTCATCTGGTTCAGTTCTGTAAAAAATATTAAAGGAACCATTTGCTATTTGATTATTAATAGATTAATTCAAAAATTAATCAACGGATTAATTACTTAGTGAAATAATCGTTAGTTGCTACATTGAAGCAGTATACCTGTTATTGCATATGAGATATCAATGTATCTGTTGATCTCCCACTTTATCCAGCAAATAGGTGGTATAATATAATAATTTTACTTTATTGATCTCACATTGGAGAAGTTTACTTCTGCATTTAAACCATCCTCTTGGGGAGCAGTGGGCTGCCATCATGGGGCGCCCGGGGAGCAGTGTGGGGTGTAAGGTTTTGCTCAGAGACCCAGAGTGGCAGTCTATGGGAGTAGGACTCAAACTCAGAACCTCAGGATTCCAAGCTCTATGCCCTAACCACTAGGCCATCACTCCCTCTTGGCCTTGTGATAAACACAGGACCAAGATATATGAACAATACCGCATTAGGCAGAGCCATAGAGACCACCCCACCTGTTCCTAGTGCAGAGAAGATTAAGACTTTGAGGAGTTAAAAACTAGAACAATGTGTCGACATATCCTTTGACACTATATAACACACAACAAGGAAAGACAGAGCAATGATGTCCTCATGGCGACAACACCGATGTAGAACATTTTAGCTACCTTTGACTTTAAGACCATTTTCTAATAGTACCTCCTGAATTAAGAAAAATACTTTTCATACCCTGGCCCTTGGTTCATCTTTTTAAACTCTTGAATCAAACAACTCTTGAATCAACTTAACATGATATCTTTAGGAATTTTTTTTTTTTTTACTAAAGACAAACATTTACCCATTCACATTTAACCATTCCTACATTTTTCAAGTCTTAACATAAAGATGTGGGGAAAAAATATCAGAGGGACTTGAGTTTGTCTAGAGGATGGAGTAACATACTGCTTCCCCTACCCATGCATTTGGAATGACCTACCAATGCATGGTGCTGCACACTGCACAGCTGCTGGCTGAAAGGCATTTGTTCACTTTTCCTGCTATGACTAAATGACTAATACAGCTGCCCTGAAATATTTTTTAAATGAGGAGTCAGGTACAAATTGAAGGAAGACCACTACTTACTCTCTTTGGAGTTAGATGGTAGAATACTTTATAATAATAAGCACCAGAACACAACTGCTGAACTGAGTTTTTATTCTATATTTTACTTAAATCTATGTATTGACCTTTCATTTATATATATATAAAAAAGACAATGAATTAACACAGTTAACCTTGTAATTGTAATAAGCATTTTAAAAATGTAGCATCACTTAAAATTCCTGTTGCTTTCTGTAGATCATTTTATACAGATTGTTGATTTTTGGGATTAAATACTATGATACATCTAAAGAGTTACTGTTGCTCCAGGTTATCGTACTTTAAGGAGCTCCTAACCAATGACTAGCTAGAGATCTAAGAAACGTGTTTGTATCATTATTTTTACACGGATTGCTTATTAAATTCTATGTACTGTATTTCAAAGCAGTTATATGTTTTAATATCTGGTTCTGACACTCTTCAGTAAGAGAAAAATATCCAGCAGGTATCACAATCACTACTTTATGTTCCCACTTTAGAGTTTTAATCTTGTACTTCCAAACTACAGACATATACAAGATACTGTAGATATATAGGAAAACACACACACACACAGATACACACACACACACACACACACACACACATATATATATATATATATATGGCAGTAAAATAAAGGCTTTTTGAAGATGTTTCCATATTGTTTTTCAGTCTCGGAAGTTGCTGTCAAAAGGTGAAAGTGAAATTAAGTGAAATTCTTCCTGCATTCCAGAGGCTGCCCACACCTGCCTCCTAACAGTTTTACCGAGTCCCCTGTTTCGTTGGGACACAAAAGGTTGAAGCCCTTGAAGGTCTCGTTCTGAATATCAGTATCATGCTCTTTATTTCCCTGTTGAAATCTAAGGCAATATTTGATGTCAGTTTGCAGAGAGGAAAGATTTATTTTTTCAATGTAGCCTTCATTTGCCATTCATGAGCATGGGTTTATTTTATGTGTGTGTGTGTGGGTGTGTGTGTGTGAGTGTGTATGCATTCCCTACAATATCATTGCCTTGAGTTGCGTAATGATTGCAGTATTTGGCTGCTGAGTAAATTTTGTCCCCCAGAAAAGGATTCAGGCTGTTAGACATGCAGCTCAACATATTACTTTCTGACATACATGTAGTGTAGATATTTGTTGAGGGTGTTGTCACCGGTTGCTATTTTCCAATTCATACAATGAACAGTTTAATTGATTATTTCTGGTTGTTTTTTTTGTTTTTTTTAAAGTAGATTTTCTTATTACTTTAAGGCATTATGGTATTTATCATATTTTATTGGATAACTTCTCTTTGTCCTTGCTCTTTCTCTTTGATCAAACTGTGCTGTTTGAATTTAGTAAGAATCTACATGTGTTGTTTGTTGCTTGTGCTTTTGTGTGTTAGCTTGAATGTAAAATCTTTAATAACAATGTTGCTAGATTTAAATGTAAAGATATGTATAGAAAAATGTTTCATTTCAGCTGGATAGGGTCATCTCCCTGAGCTGATACAACATAATTTTAAATCTAATTCTCAAAATGAATGTTTACCCTCATTCACGAGCTCGCAAACAACTAATTAATACAAGATAAGCAGGGTTCATCAAATTAAATGTCTTAGAATGTAATGATGCCTGGCCACACAATTAACAATACATAATCAAACCCTAATACGTCAGTGATCTTTTAGAGTTAATCATGCTATTAGGCAGAATGGGATTATGGAGCATGCCTCCTGATGGGAAGACTGGCAGAGAACCGTCTCTAAGGGGTGAATTAACTCTGATAAACACTCAGATGGACAGCGACAAATGCACTAATACATATTCCTTATGCTAAACGTTGTGCATTCTGTCATTTTGACTTCAGTTTCATTCCTGCTGGAGTCTCAGTGTTACTTATTTCCTTTCTGCTTTTTTTCTTATGCAACTATTTTTCCCCTTGGTAATCCATGAGGGAAAACATGGAATTAGTTTGTAAAGCGTGATAATAATGCATGGCCATAATAACTTGACTCAAGAG